CCCCCCCATCATATCCTCTTTACCTTACTCCAGCAAGACTTACTGCAGCAGAGCCACCATCTCCACTGCTGCTGTGCCCTATTTCCATCTAGCAGCGTCACCTTGGTGGGCATGGGAATAATTTCGTAGTCCAACCGAGGGCCTTTGGGACTGGGTACAGCTGCAATTTCGCACAGGGGAAAACCTGGGTACTATGCAAAGTTGAACGGGCTCCGGGTATAGATGCAAGTTTGCGTCGGGACTGGGCATAGCGGGTATATTCCCAGCTTTAAGTGAGGTACATACCACATATGCAATTTTCCCTTCTTTTTTTAACAGTCCTTCCAACACCCAATCTAATTACTTTCATCTTTTTTTTTTTTTTTTTTTTTTTTTAAACAACCGGATCGGCTGCTAGGGGTAACTACTTTCATCTTAGCAACACCAAAGAAAGTACAGTAGTTCAGAAGGGGAAAAAAAAAGAAAGAAAGAAAGAAAAAAAAAATTAATAAATTGACCAACACCAAAGAAATTAACTCTTATCAGACCCAGAGTCCCAAATCATACATACTACTAGACACGTATGTATGGTCTGGGACTTTGGGACTCCGGGACTCTCTGGCACATATCTAGCTGCTTCAAATCACCAACTGAAACAAAGGAGGTCAGGGAGAAGAAAGGAAAAATTATGTCCCTTGGGACGTCTGTTAAAATTGGCACGATACAGAGAAGATCAATTAGCAAATGGCCCCTGTGCAAGGACCACAAGCATAAATCGAGAAATGGTCCAAATTAAAAGAAAAAGGGATAAATGTGCAAAATGAGAATGAATCTTCCATAGAACATGGAACTATACACAGGCTGCCGGGCATACTTTTTGTCTTTTGCGCATGTGGTGAGTAGTCGAGTGAGGCGCTTTATCTCACCTGGCTGGTCATGATATAGGAGACGCAAAGATTGGCCAAGACAATCGCCGGGATGCCCAGAATGTCATCGGAATGCTTCTTCACAATTGGCTCGTAGTATCGGATGGCCTCCTTGTACCTCGTATCCTGAGACCGACACGTAATTACAAGTTCATCAGTCGTCATTAACTCCCAAACTCCCCTTTTTTTTGCCTGCTCTTTTTTTTTTTCGTTGTTGTTGTTGTTATGACAGGGCCCAGTGGCCAAGGCAAAATACACTTTTGCACAAGAATCAGATCCAGGGGCTGCAATGCAACGAGCCTCTTAGTTCAACACCAGTGAGCGCACACAATCACACCACATGCATGTCTGAGATCACACGAGATTCACACTGGAGGCCAGAGAGACAAAGACCAGGTAGCGCAGTAGTATGGATTCCGTACTTCTGGGCCTAAGTCCTCCTCCGTGCAAGCACAGATTCGAACCGGCGACTTCGGCCTCAAGAGCCAAGTCTCTTAACCACTACAGCCAGGACACGGTGTTCAAAAGTGGAATCGTACCGGTCGTGATATCCACCCCACCCCTGCAAGGCTGTAGTGTCCAACTCAACACACACCACACACAACACCCACGGACACGGCAATTCTCGTACACTTCACTCTGTAGTCAGCACGTAACCCCCGCTGGTACTCTTACCCGCTCACACAGACGGGACTTAGCTCTAGAATTCCAAAAATCATTAAAAAATGATGTAAGCTGTGTGAGTATGCCCGGCAGGAAGTAAAAATTAAAATTGAAAAGCCCACCGGACATCTTTTATGTTTTGAACGAAATTGAAACCGAGTTTTTTGGCCGAAAACTCGTCAAAATTTGCTGTTCCTGGGGGTCCAGCGTTTTACAAACGCTGGACCCCCTGGCTGTACATGGACCTAGCTTGAGACCAGGTACCTCCAGACAGTCCTGCCTGGAGGTGCCTGGTCTCAAGCTAGGTCCATGTACAGCCAGGGGGTCAGCAAATTTTGACGAGTTTTCGGCCAAAAAAATCGGTTTCAATTTCGTTCAAAAAATAAAAAATGTCCATTTTGACGAAATGGTCGTTGTAACCGTCCGGACGTCCGGACCAGGTTCCAGACAGTCCAGTGTCCGGTGTCCAGTGTCCGGTGTCTGGTCCTGATGTCCGGATGGAGGCCCCTGGGGAGAAAAAAAATTAAAAAGGGGGCAGCCCAGGACGTTTATCGGGTCCTGGCCGCCCCTCGAAAAATAACGGGGTGATTTTTCAGTGTCATTTCAGCCCACCGGACAGGGCCTAGAGGTCCGGACACAAGACACTGCAGGTTTCTGGGTGGCGGGTTTCACACAAGCCCGAGCAATTTCAAGGCGCCCGCCGCTGCTGCCCGCCGCTGCTGCCCGTCGGGGAGAGAGAGAGAGAGAGAGAGAGAGAGAGAGAGAGAGAGAGAGAGAGAGAGAGAGAGAGAGAGAGAGAGAGACGGCGACCGCGGCGCGCGGGCGGGAGAAAGCGAGAGAGAGAGAGAGAGAGAGAGAGAGAGAGAGAGAGAGAGAGAGAGAGAGAGAGAGAGAGAGAGAGAGAGAGAGAGAGAGAGAG